GTGGCAGAGGGAAAGCAAAAATGCAGCTGAACAGGCCCCGCAGAGCACAGAGACCTGAGCCAGGGTCTTCATTTCTAGCACCAGCTTTTCATTCCCAAACAAGGAGACGAGATACAAAATTCCTGAGCACTTGCTTTTGCTTCCATGGAAGCCGGGGGGGGGGGGGGGGGGGAGATAGATAGATAGATAGATAGATAGATCAGATCCCAGCTTCAGCACTACTAAACAGCCTTAGGGATAAAGTCCTAAAGCAAAAATAAAGTCATCTACAGGGGCTGGTGCTGAGCCTCTGCCTGTGGTGCTGGCATCCCATATGAGTACCCGTTCAAGTCCCAGATGCTCCTCTTCCGATCTAGCTCCCTGCTTATGGCCTGGGAAAGCAAGAGAAAATGGCCCAACTCCTTGGGCCCCTGCACCCATGTGGGAGACCAGGAAGAAGCTCTTGGCTCCTGGCTTCAGATCAGCTCAGCCCCAGCCATTGTGGCCATTTGGGAAATGAACCAGCAGATGGAAGATCTCCCTCTCTCTCTCTCTCTCTGTTTTTCCCTCTCTCTCCCTCTCTCTCTCTGTAACTCTACCTCTCAATAAAATAAAATAAAAAGTCACCTACAACACTCACAATGACTTTCCCAGGAGCCCTTTTTGTAGGCTCAGGTGATAATGAAAACATTATCATGTGATAAAAGGCACAAGACACTTAGGCATATGTGTCTCCTAAAATTGAAAAGCTAATTAAATTTAGTCTCTTCAAAGGCAAAAGTAAATTTAGAAAAGACAAAAGCTAGCTGGAGGGGCCGGCCCTGTGGTGTAGCGAGTAAAGCCTCCGCCTGCAGTGTTGGCATCCTATATGGTGGTGGGTTTGAGTCCCGGCTTCTCCTCTTCCGATACAGCTCTCTGCTATGGCCTGGGAAAGCAGTGGAAGATGCACAAAGGCCATGGGCCCCTGCACCCACTTGGGGGACGGGTAAAAGCTCCTGGCTCCTGGCTTCAGATCAGCACAGCTCTAGTCATTGTGGCCATCTGAGTGAACCAGCAGATGGAAGACCTCTCTCTCTCTCTTTCTGCCTCTGCTTCTCTGTAACTCTGCCTTTCAAATAAATAAATAAACCTTTAAAAAAAAAAGAAAGGTTAGCAAGAAAAATGTATTCTTCTCTTTTTTTTTTAAGATTCATTTTAGGGGCCAGCGCCGTTGCACAGCAGGTTAAGGTCCTGGCCTGAAGCGCCAGCATCCCATATGGGCACTGGTTCAAGACCCAGCTGCTCCACTTCTGATCCAGCTCTCTGCTGAAGGCCTGGGAAAGCAGAGGGGGTTGGTCCAGGTGCTTGGGCCCTTGTATCCACATGGGAGACCTGGAAGAAGCTCCTGGCTCCTGGCTTCAGATTGGCGCAGCTCTGGCCGTAACGGGCAACTGGGGAGTGAACCATCGGATGGAAGTCCTCTCTCTCTTTCTCTCTCTCTCTGCCTCCCCTCTCTCTAACTCTGACTTTCAAATAAATAAATATATCTTTGAAAAAAAGATTGATTTATTTTTATTTGAAAGGCAGTGTTGAGAGAAAGAGAGAGAGAGATCATCCATCTGCTGTTTCACTCTCCAAATGGCTGCAATGGCTGAGGGTTGGCCAGGCCAAAGCCAGGAGCCAGGAGCCAGGAGCCAGGAGCCAGGAGCCAGGAGCTACATCTTGGTCTTCCACATGGATGTAGAGGCCCAGACACTTGGGCCATCCTCCTCTGCTTTCTCAGGCACATTAGCAGAGAGCTGGATTGGAAGGAGAACAACTAGTACTTGAATCACTGCCCACATGGGATGTTGGCAATGCAGACAGCAAATTTACCCACTGTGCCACAACTCCCGCCCCAGAAAAAATACACTCTTATTTCTGAGCATAATAAATGAGAATAAAGAGGAATCAATTGGGTTTACCAGTTCAACATGTCAAAGACACTTGATTATTTTCAGATAATATTCACCCAAAACTTATTATGGACTTCATTATGCTTTCTATTCATTTCCATATAAATGTATGGACTATCACCTAAGAGACTATAGGTTGGGGGGAAAACAGGACCAAGATGAATAAAAAACCCATCTGCCCTGAGGAACATCAGACTCTACTGAGAGATCGCACCATGTGCCCCTTGCACAACCGCTTTTCTCTGAGAAGGGCTCCCCAACCCTGGTCCACCTGGTCCTAGTGGAGGCGGAGTCACTCTTGTACAACCTGACTTCCAATCTTCCAATCATGCAAACTAGAGAGGGCCAACATGAGTCCTTACCAAAAAATGTAGCAAGAAAAGAAATAAGCAGGCTTTCTCTTAGCCAGACTTCAGCTGGCAGGGAGGCCACATTCCACTACACAGCCTGAAGAGCAGAAAAAACAGAGTGCAAAGAAAGAGAGGAAAACAGATGTGTGGTTCACAGAAAAGCTCTGAACCAGGAATATCACCTGGGCTCCTAGCAGCTTTCAGTTCCCAGGGCAGAATGTACGCTTACAATGAGCTAGCCTCAAATGGTTTTTGTTGCCTACAACCAAAAAAATCCTAATAAATACAAAGGGAGTAAGACCACAACACAAATACACAACAGTAGCTGTGATGTTCATGGTGCTAAGTGGCAAGAATTCACTTCATTCATCTAGGACTGCTCAGTAAAGTGGCAAGAGGTAAGTCTTGTTCACAAAAGGTAGGGATTAAGTCCAGGCACTACTACCCTTTACTAATTCTCTACCTTGAGTAAATATAGCAACACTTAGCACAATGTCTAATGCAACATTGTTACTCAAAATATATTCGCAAGAAGGAAGACAGACAAGAGGTTATCTACATATTGGGTGTACTTATCTAAGTCACTTCTCATTAATAAAATGGGACTAAAAATGTTCTCTTCATGTATCTCACAGAATCAGAATGATCAGAATGTATACAACCACCGTATGATCAGAAGTCATTTATAGGTTCAGATCAATCAGTAGATCAAATAACAAGGCACTTGAATTAACTGAACAAGGATTAACCAACTATAGGTAACTTGTTTATACATAGGCCAGAAAGTAAAAATTGCTTCTACAAATGGGAGTCTGCAACAAATTTTGGTGTTAGAGAACAGTAACTTTGAAACCCAATTCCCCTAAATGTTAACTCCCCCCCCCAAAAAAAAAAGAATTTCATTCTTCGCATTAATAGACTCATATCCCACAAAATTCTATCCAATTATTATTACATATTTCATAACACAGGATTTAACAAGTACACAAGAAGTCAACACAATCAGGGACATACAAAGAAATCATTTTTCTCATCAATCCCATTATTTTTAGAGTGTAACTTTATAGAACATGGGGGTTTTACAATTGCACAAACTGTAACTTATTCCTAAAGTTGTACTTATAAAATCTGTATTCCTTAAAAATAAATTAATCAATTAATTAATCTTAAAAGAACTGTAATTTAGCAGAAGCATTTGAAATAACATCTGAGTGAGTTAAGGTGACAACAGACCTTCTGGAATTTCAACCATAGCCTTCAAGATCAGGTTTAAACAGGCTGCACCAGTTCTAACATGCGCCATGAACCATCTCAATTGGGTTAAAACACAACATCAATCTTGACAGACATCTATTATCATCTTTTCATTACATAGTTGTCACCATACTATATATTAAGAGGTTTCAGAAATCTCATTGAAAATGAAATCAAAAGATAACACAACTCATTGCCTCCACCTTGCTCTGCTTAGGATTACAGGGGCAATAGTGTTGCTTCTTGTGTCTCTCAGTTGACTCCAGAATCCTCTGTACTTCAACGCTCTACAGGCAGACCATGCCGAGGCCAGAGGAAAAAGCTACCTGGGGCTGTTGGCACAGATTATAGACCATCTGGAAAACTACTAAAACTAAGACCTCAGGTTAGGTCAGGTCAGGTCAGGCATCAGTTAAAATGGAGACCTCCAGCTCTCAGAAGACTCCAGCTTCTAAAAACTCTAAGAAGCCACTGGCTGATGAAGTCAGAGCCACAGAGCCCACTAGACAAAAGTGTGGATGGGAAGGTTGCGAAGTTTGGTGCTGAGGATCTCAAAGTACAACCCAAGCAGACAGCCTGCTGGAGTGGTGTCCCCAGCTACCAGTCTTGTTACTGCCTTACAGTCAAGAAGTTGGAAGAAAAAACCTTCTTCTACTCTAGTAACTGCAAAGATCCATGCAAGACATGAAGATCATGGAGGAGGCTTACCCAGACCACGCACACTTTGAAAAAAATAGTCTCCATTTTGAACCATGCAACAAAGAGGACAACTCCAAACAGTCCATGATGGATGCAGTTTGTTCAAATGATGAAGCATTTCATTACACTGGCTGAGCTCAAAATCTATCACCAAGCCCACAGAAGCACTGGGGCCCTTTAAAAAATATGGCTCTTTTCATTTGCCAGAGACTTTCAACTTAGCCCCTAACACAAGAAGAGTTTGCTCTCATTTAGAGCCTGAAAGAAAAGAAACCAAGTTCGCTAAGACATCATTGCTGGGATGGGCAAGACATTACTCCAGAGAAGTCAGGCTTTTATAGAAGGCGTGAGAAGATTTCCTTGTTATTTTCACCTGTGGCTGTGCTTATGGGTAGGTTTTGTGTACTATTTTCAATAAAACATTGATATTGAAAAAAAAGAATATAAATTTCCTATAAATTTTTTGAAGCTCCTTAATATGCTGGAAATGTAATTATTCATTCTAATTATTTCTCTTAATTATACTGTAAATATTATCCACAATACCATATATTCTTCATTGGCATATTTCTAATTTAATAGACCACAATTGGGACTTTAGTTATACTTTGATTTGGATTTGCATAATAATTATCAAAGGCAATTATTTTTGCATATTTTATGCAATGTAGTTTATTAACTACATTTTACTTGTTACGTCTATTCATTAGCCTTATTCAATATCCTACTAGGATCCCTAAGATTTCTTAAAATCAATGTTTGAACAAAGAAGAAAGAAGCTTACCTTCTGGGCTCCCTGTCGTAAGAATGTGCTGGCAAAAGTTTCTAAAATGCAGTTGAGAAATCCAGCCCCTGTGATTGAAATCTTGCCTCTCTGAATGAACTCCGTCCTACAAAAAAAAAAATCTTTGATATTATTCTGCATTTGAATCTGTAAACTATAGACATTTCCAGTAGCATAATTACCACTTATCAATATAAAATAATACACAGACTTTTCTGTAACACAAAAGGATTTTATTAAAATTAGATGTACAGTTTATTCAAATTAGGAAATGCTCATTTCCTACTGCAAAATGCCTTTTTAAAAATTGATTATGAATGTTCCAACATGGGAAGCAGTCCACACAGCAGACTCATAAAATGACAATTGCTTTAAGTAACACTCTGAACTCAGAATCAGCCTGTAAAGCTTCCTGGTCTGGTTGAAAAGCCTGTGAGATCATTTCAGGCATGGAAAGAAAAGACACTGTGGCAAAAAAATATTCTACATGCAGCATCATCTTTGTGAGATCCCAACAGAAAGAAATGGCCATAAAAGAAGGATGTACTTTTCTCTAAAAGGAGGAGAGAACTTCCAATTTGCTAATGGCTATGTCTAAATACTGACGGAGTTGGTGGTTTCAAAAGGCTTTCCTTTGTGTGGTCACTGACATTATACATAAGAATGTTGTTAAATGAACAACAGAAGTCACTGTGCACTAGCTCCCCATGCAGGACCTCTGTCTTCAGTGAGTTGTATTATGAGAGTTAAATGTGATACTTATTCTCAAACAATTTGTGTGTGTTATGCAAATTGTTCTGTATACAAAGTTAATTGAAAATGAATCTTAATGGACAATGGGACTGGGAAGGGGAAAGGGAGGAAGAGGAGGGTGGGAGTGTGGGTGGGAGGGTGGTGTGGTGGGAAGAACAACTCTATTCCTAAAGTTGTACATGTGAAATTAGTATTCTTTAAAAATTTAATTAATTAATTAAAAAAATTGATTCAGGGACCAGCATTGTGGTGTAACGGGTAAAGCCACTGCCTGCAGTGCCAGCATCCCATATGGGTGCTGGTTCAAGTCCCGGTTGCTCCACTTCCTATCCAGCTCTCTGCTATGGCCTGGGAAAGCAGTAGAAGATGGCCCAAGTCCTTGGGCCCCTGCACCTGCGTGGGTGACCAGGAAGAAGCCCCTGAATCCTGGGTTCGGATTGGAGCAGCTCTGGCCAATGCAGCTAATGGGGAGTGAACTAGTGGATAGAAGACCTCTCTCTCTCTCTCTCTCTCTCTCTCTCTCTGCCTCTCCTTCTCTGTGTAACTCTGACTTTCAAATAAATAAATCTTTTAAAAAAATTGATTCTGAAACAATTGCCTTCTATATGAGGTGAGTAAATTATTCAGATCCTCTGTAACTCGGTTTCCTCACAGGTAAAATGGAAATAATCATAGTATCTTCCTTTAGCAACCATGGTGAAAATTAACTGACTTAACACACTCAACAGGAACATGAAGAACTAGTGATAAATAGCAAGCATTATTAGATGTTAGCCACTATTACCAAAGAGAGACAGACAGAGACGGAGAATGGGAAGCCTGAAATGACTTCATTAATCCTTGACTGTGGAGAGACAGAAGAGAAAAAGAGATGTGTCACCATGTCTACAAATTCTGTCCCGGTTCTTCCAATATTAAATTAACTCCTCCACTTCATCCAATGGGAACTTGCTTATATTTGAGAGTGACATAAATCTTGAATAGGAATCTAGAAGTCCTCATTCCCCTAAGGAGACACAAACTTAACAACAATATAGGAACCAAAGGTCTTTGTGAACTCCAACACCAGTTAGGAGGTGGCAGCTTCCCAGGTGAATGCGAAGCCAAGAAAAAACACATAAGCAAGTTTGTTGTGATCAGTCATGATAATCCCTTCCCAGCCAAGACAGCACAGAGCACAGTCAGGAAAAAATTCCCATTGCCCATCATTTCCTTGGAAGAGTAACAGCTAACTGTGCACCCAACATTCTGGCTTTACGAGGGGCTGCCAAGGGAGTGATTCAACGTGCTGAAGGAGATGGCAGAATACTTTAGATGCAACAAGCATGTTGACTTGTCACAGCACTACAGAGCAAGCAGTACCACAAACAGAAATTAGACACACAAGCTAAGAGAAGATACAGGCCCAAATAAGACAGAGAGGCCCCATAATCTGTAGGTGGGCTGACTGGTGAGATTCTGGAATTGTTTTTTCACGTGCTAGTTATCTTGTTTTAAAATGGGGGTGGCTGGCACAGTGGCGTGGAAGATTAAGCCTCTGCCAGCAGCACCTGCATCCCATATGGACAGCGGTTCAAGTCCCAGCTGCTCCACTTCTAATCCAGCTCCCTGCTAATGCACCTAGGAAAGCAACAGAAGATGGCCTAAGTGCCATCTGTATACACATGGGAGACCCAGAAGAAGCTCCTAGCTCTTGAATTCACCCTGGCCCAGCAAGCCATTGCAGCCATTTGGGTAGTGAACCAGCAGATGGAAGACCTCGATCTCTGTCTCTCCTTCTCTCTGTGTAACTCTGCCTTTCAAATAAATAAAATATATCTTTTAAAAAATAAAACAGGAATAACAACAAAGAAATAATGCTTTTAAAAAAGAACCAAACAGAAATTTAACAGTAAAGAATATAACTGAAATGAAAAAGCTCACTGGAGGGGTTCAACAGCAGACTTCATCAAGCAGAATAAAGAATCAGCAAACTTAAAGATAAGTCATCTGAAATCAGAGTCAGAGAAGCAAAAGAAAAAAGAATGAAGAAAAGTAAAGAGAGACTTCGGTGAGGGGACACCATGGACTACGTCAATTTACAGGTCATGGGAGTCTTAGAAGGGGAAGAGAATGAGAAAGGGGCAGAGAGCCTATCTGAAGAAATAATGACAGAAAATGTCCCCAAATCGAGGGAGGAAATAGGCATACAAATTTAAGATGTTCAACATACTCTTTAACTAAGATAAACCCAAGAAGACACACCCCAAAACACCTTATAATAAAGTTGTCAAAAGCCACAAAGAAAATCTTGACAGCAGCAAAGAGAAAAGCAACTTTTCATACGCAAGGGAGCTTCCATAGGATTTTCAGTGGATTTATCAGCAGAAATTTTGCAGGCCAGAAGAGAATAGGATGATAGATTCAAAATGCTGAAGGGTTGGCACTGTGGCGCAGCGGGTTAATGCCCTGGTCTGAAGCGCTGGCATTCCATACAGAGCCGGTTCAAGACCTAGCTGCTCCACTTCCGATCCAGCTCTCTGCTATGGCCTGGGAAAGCAGAGGAAGATGGTCCAAGTCCTTGGGACCCTGCATCCACAATGGGAGACCCAGAAGAGGCTCCTGGCTCCTGGCTTTGGACCGGCACAGTTCCAGCATTGTGGCCAATTGGAGAGTGAACCATCGGCTGGAAAACCTCTCTCTCTCTCTGCCTCTCTTCTCTCTGTGTAAATCTATCAAGTAAAATAAATAAATCTTAAAAAAAAATAAAATAAAAAATAAAACAAAATGCTGAAAGAAAATAAACTACAAACCCAGAACAGAATATATGGCAAATTTATCCTTCAGAAATCCATCAGGAAGCAGATGTGGATTACATCTAACTTTGCCTCACTCATTCATGTACCCAACACACTGACTGCAGGGCTACTGCATGATAAGCATCAGAGGGAGTGGGAGAGGCCCACAGTGAGGGAGAAGGTCTCTGTTCCCCAGATTCTCAATGATTAGTGGAAAGGACAAATAGACAAGTGAGAAACTGTCAACAGAGGCAACGCATTCCACCAGAGAAATACTGAATGTCAAGGGCTGCGAATTATCTTAACATGCCCAGTACATGGCAGGGGCCTTGATAAAGTCTTCCCATGTGTTAGGAGACAAACTCAAAGGATAAGGGGAAACAAGATGGCAGGCATCTCCGGTTCAGTCTTCACTTAATCCTAAAAGTAACAGGCCCTGTCTTCTGATGGCACCCAGCCACAGGCACAGATGAACACTTATATGTGCACCAATGACTAAAAGGCCACTTTTGATACTTCTATACACTCTCCTAGCCCCCATTTTCTGCACAATGCTTACACTAAATTCACTCTATAAGCCTTTGCTAAATGAGTAAGTCAAAAAATTCCTACACAATCAGAAAATATTTGACAAAGTGAATAGCTTTTGTTCCCTTACAAAAGAGGTTGAAAGAAGTAACCTTGGCCAGCGTTTGTTTACAGTGACTTCAGCTGTTTTCTGTGATGCCAGCATCCCATATGAGCACCTGTTGGAATCCCAGTTGCTCCACTTCTGATCCAGCTCCCTGCTAATGAGTCTGGGAAAGCAGCAGAGGATGGCAGAAGTGCTTGGACCCCTGCACCCATGTGGGAGACCAGGATGCAGTCCCAGGCTCCTGGCTTCAGCCTGGCCCAGCCCAGGCCACTGTAGCCATTTGGGAAGTAAATCAGTGTATACAAGATTGATTCATTCTCTCTCTCTCTTCCTCCCTCCTTCCCTCCCTCTCTGTAAGTCTACCTTTTAAATAAATAAAATAAATCTTAAAAAAGTAGTATTGTTGCCCCACTCCACCATGTACGGACACAGTATTCATCCCTTCAGCCATGTAAGAGCACAGCTCTCTGTAAAACAAAGCCAGCCCTTCCTGACAACAAACCTACTGAGTCCTTAATGCTGGACTTTCCAGCTTCGAGAACCGTGAGCAACAAATTTCTGTGTGTGTGTATGTGTGTGCACATACATATATACACATATATATTCAATTATTCAGCCACTAAAAAAGAATGAAATCCTGACATCTACAACAAAAACGATGTAATGAAAAGTCATTATGTTAAGTGAGATAAGTGAAACGCACAAAGACAAATAAAGTAGGTTCTCCCTCATATATACAAGCTTCTAAAAGTCAATCTGAGCATATGATGGTGATTACTAGAGGCTGGAAAGGGTAGGGGAAGGGGGCTTAGAGGGAGGTTGGAAAAGGAGTACAAAACACAGACAGAAGTAATATATTCTAGTGTTCAACAACTCAGGAGAGTTTAATTCACCATAATATTTCATACACTGTATGAAGAACTGAAAGAGAGGAGCTGATAG